TATCTATCTATTTATCTATTTATCTATCTATCTATGTATCTATAATAAATAATAGACTTTAGAGTCAAAAATACCAATTGCAACCACTATTTATTAAAGATGAAGAGGTGGAGGTGGTAAGCTCTTACAAGTATCTTTGTGTAACAATCGACCACAAACTTGACTGGCATCCCCACGCTGCTCTTGTGCATAAAAAAGTTAATCAAAGAATGTTTCTTTTAAGGAAATTAAAAAGTTTCCGTGTTGACAATAAGATTATGTCCCTTTTTTACCATTCTATTATTGAAAGTGTGCTGCTATTTTGTATTTGCTGCTGGTGTGGGAATTGTTAGGTGAAAGATAAATAAAAATTTGGCAGAACCATTAAGAAAGCCAGCAAGATCTCTAGATATGTTTTATAAGGATGGATGAAATGTATAACACCACACGTATAAAAAAATTAAAAAGCATAATAAATGACCCATCACACTCCTTTTCCACACAAATTGTAAGATCACGCAGCGGCAAGTATGTACCCCCAAAAACAAAGAAATAAAGATATAAAAGAAGTTTTTTACCATCTAGCATAAGGCTTTTGTCAGAATGAGCATTAATGTGTGTTGCTCTTATAGAGTATGTATCTGTATAACTCCAAAGGTCTAGTATTTAAATTCCTGCATGTGGTTGAATGATGTAAATGTACTTTTTGTCAGCATTACTTCTCCTTTCATATTGAATTTTAATGAGAGTAATATATATGATTAAAATTATTTTATGTATACCTGCATGTGTTTTTACGGTCCTGTACAGCCAAGGAATATTTCCCTCTGAGATAATAAAGTACTATCTTATCTTATCATATCTTATCTTATCTATCTATCTATTTATGTCTCTATCTATCTATCTATCTATCTATCTATCTATCTATCTATCTATCTATCTATCTGTCTGTCTGTTTTCTCTCTACCTTATGTGATTTGTTTTACTGTCTCTGAAGTCCCCAGAGCAAAATCAAAATGATTCTGACTTTTGCACTCATTTGATCTTTAGCAAACGGAACGTCCATTTGAAAATAATACTGAAAACTGTTGAAGCTATATTAGGTAAAATATCTTCAAAAGCTTTTCTTTTTTTAAATATGTGTCCTGTCGTCTTTCAGTATTTACACAACTTTAAGGATATTGACATGGCCGTATTATTATACACCTCCACAACAGCGCATTTCATCACTCAAGGTTCTTCTCTCTTAAAATGACTTTCATTTATGTTCTGATTGTTTGAACAAAATTAGCAAAATAATGTTCTTGGCCAGTCACACGATTTTTATAGGTTTTTCTAACACTGACATGCCAAAAAGAGCTCAATACTTTATTATGAATGACTGGCCTGTCATATTTTGAAAGATATTGTTATGTTTTAAATCTCTGTTTCACCAGCCACTATGCTCCTAGCAACATCACTAGCCGTCATATGACAATTAAAAACCAGAGAAAAAAAATCCTACTGTCGAGTAATATACAAAAAGAAATCTAGAGTAACGAAACATATTTCCTAAATTACATATATACATAAATTCACATATATACTCATAAATGATACTCGTATAAAATCAATTAAAAGTAAAAAATCAGCCTAGAAATCCTTCAACCTGCAGAAGCATGATTTGGGACGATGATGCCACGTTTTCGAAATCAGGCAATGGTGACAACCTTCACTAGAAGGTCAACAGTTCAAAGGTGTGGCTCAGAGAGAGAGAGAGAGAGAGAGAGAGAGAGAGAGAGAGAGAGAGAGAGAGAGGGAGATTATTACTCTACGACCAAAAAAAAGGCATAATTTACATGACTGCTCAGGGCTGTTTTTTTTAAATTAAAGAACATAAAACAAATAGCGATTTGATGAGTACTGTCAAATATTTTATGTCTAAGGTTTATTACCAATTTCTTTCGAAAAATGAGAAAAAACAAAATAAAATGTTTTAATAACAATGAAGTATCCTAATTTTAAAATTCAGTTTTGGGGACTCTTAAACAAACATAAGATCAGTGAACATTTGTTTCTTACTGATAATTTAAGGCCAGGGAGATAGAGGTAGAAGACAGACCCAGAGTAACCCACTTGGAAAGCCTATATAGATCAGTGACTGATTAAAGTCAGGATAGTATGTTTTTGAGAGCCTCCAAGCAAATGAATGAATGGTAAACCATGATCATCGATGTCTGTCTCGGATCTGTCACTTGGCAATGATGATAAGGATATTGGTTACTTCAAAGAAAGTTATAGCATAACTGTGTCACGAAAACACTTGTAACATATAAAAGAAAATTCTGTGAGGTTTCTTACCAAACAGTTTAATGAACAATCGTACCTTCGTATCATGTGCAATTCAAGGCTTACAAAAAACAAAGCATTGCCTAAATGTAGGAGATGCTCAAGACGAGTAGGCTTATCCCCTCATATCTCTCTCTCTCTCTCTCTCTCTCTCTCTCTCTCTCTCTCTCTCTCTCTCTCTCTCTCTGTGTGTGTGTGTGTGTGTGTGTGTGTGTGTGTGTGTGTGTGTGTGTGTGTGTGTGTGTGTGTGTGTGTTCGTGTGTGTGTCCCCCTCTCCCTCTCACGGGACATACAAACTTTCTACCTGTGTCTTAACTTGTGAAAATTTCAAAATATTGAATCAGTGAGCTTTAGGGTTCGTGTCACATTAATTTCTCTATGTAAAAATCTGACAAATCGTGTCTTTATCCTAAAAAGCATTTAGGTAAATTAAAATGGATATCTTAACCCCTATATTTACCACGCTGTTGATTGATAGATAGTTTCAAGCTGTCATGAGTCGACTCACGGCGTACTTGTCTGCCAGACCATCCTGGAAAGAAATATGAAGTAGTGGTGATGGAAATTAATCGTATCCATTTTAGCTGAATAAGTGCGGAGGAAGCAATACAAAAAATAATAATTAGTTCTATTCTAGATTTAAATTTTGAAGAGTAGGTACAATAAATATATGGCCAAGCAAAATATAAAAGGTGCCAGATTAATCATACTATACTATTTACACCTTCATTATAACGATTTCGTTAAACCTTACGACCAGTAAAGTGTGATTAATCTAAAGTATTTACCTAATCAGCACTAGCAGGCTCCATATTATATTGAGGCAGGATCAAACTATAGTGGACTAAACATATTATTATAATGTGGGCACTGATAATGCATGTTACTACTACTACTACTACTACTACTACTACTACTACTACTACTACTACTACTACTGCTACTATTGCTACTACTTCTACTACTACCACCACTACTACTACTATTACTACTACTGCTGCTGCTGCTGCTGCTGCTTCTGCTACTGCTGCTGCCGCTACTTCTACTACTACTATCTCTCTCTCTCTCTTTTTCCCCTCTCTCCCTCCTTCTCCCTCCTCCAATTTGTAGTATCTATCCCTAAGTTTAACACAGGCAGAGATCCATCCTAAAGCTGTCTTGAATGCAAAGACAAATTAATTTATTTCGATCCCTCATCCACACCACTCTGCACTAAAAGAAGCGAAGACAAATGTTTCAAAAACAAAATACAAACGTATCAAATTGACCGCCCCCCCCCCACCCCAGCCTCCCATTTTTCTCTCACGCACAGACACTTACGCGTGAACAGAATCACATTATCAATTTTTTAAAATTGTTTTCAATTACCGCAAATTCGATCTGGCTTCTGTGGTATGGGATTCCTCCAAGACCCTGACATAATTGGATATGGGCTCTCTCTGGGTCTCCAGACACTAGCAGCTCACTATGACCTTCACCCTGGTAGGGAAAGAGGGGCCAAAGACTTTGGAATCATCCGGCATACCCTATTTGCTCCGTTGTGTTTCGAACTGCTTTCAGAACCTGTTTTCTTTCCATTCGTCATTTTCTTTATGTTCGGTTTTGTTTATGTGGTTTAATACATGAATAGCCAAACATTTCTCTTCGGGTTAAAAATAGGTTTTTTTATCGCTATATCTATAGGTTTATGATTTTATCTGTTGGCCAGCCTTGACTAAGCTGCTTTTTTTTACTTTGAAAGGCTGCACTCATTTTCATGATGATAATAATGATGATGCTGGTGATGTTGGTAATGATAACGATGAGAATAATAAAAAGTGATAATAATAATGATAATAACAATAATAATAATAATCGTAATAATAGAAGTAATAGAGATAGGAATAATAATTATTAAAATAATAATAAGAAGAATAGTAATAGTATTAGTAATAATAATAATAATAATAATAATAATAATAATAATAATAATAATAATAATAATATTAATATATTTTGATAACTGTAGGGGAAGGAGGAAGTGGAAGAGGAGAAGGAAAAGTCGTAGAAAGAGACTGAAAAAAATGGACTTCCAAAATGTGCTATTCTGATTATCAAATTACCGGCTCTGAAGTTTTGATTTGGCGAATGAGTTCCGACAGACGACCTTGGAAACCAGGAGCAAAAGCAGTGGGGTCGATAGCTACAAAACACTGACCCTGTTGAACATAAGAATGATAATTATTGTTTATTGTATGTAGTGGTAAAGGAAATGAAGTGTCAATGTTACTCTTTATCAGGGTAACAGCATTTGCGAAATATAATTCTACCAAAGAGCATGTCAACAACAATATAAGCATAATCGCCGTCATTCAAAATGAAGTTTGTTGAAATTTCTGTTGCAAAAATGATAAGCAAGCATGATGCAGAGTTTGACGAGGTGCATCCTTTTGTTTATAAAGTAAATGACTTAACAGAATTAAAACATGTTGTGAGAAGATAATATCCTTCCTGCGACAAAAGTTTTCTGTTTCTCTTGAAAATGTCACATTTTGACACAATCTAAGAATTTGGAATGGTTGCAACAATGTTTTAAAATGTATGTGTATATTCTCTATTTATCGCGATCATATGACTTTATGTAGAAGCAAGCACCGTAAAACCTCTAATAAAACTAAAAACTAAAGGGTTATTGTTAAAGTTGGTGCAGTTAAAAAAAAAAAAAGTATGCGCTCTTTGAATTGTGAAACATCATATGAAATACAATTTTGTTTGTAGCATCCAGGCCTACCAAATTAGCCATGCTGTCAAAACCTGCATCCGTCCATTTCCCGAGCTGTGTACCAAACTTTGAACCACTCAGTACGCCACAAAACAGTTCTACCATCATACCAAGTCCAAAGCCTTTATAGCCACCTGGAGATGACGTAACACAAGCACAAGGTACAGTGTCAGGACCCGCACTGATTTATATAATGAAGGAGAGCTTTGTGTATTTTATAAATAGAAGCCTATGTGAGAAAAGTCTAATCACACAAACACAAACACAAACACACACACACACACACACACACACACACACACAGACACACAGACATACACATACACACACACACACACACACAAGTGCACGCGCACTTACACACACACACACACACACACACATGAACACACACAAATTATATCACACTGACAGATGTACTATGCACATATAGAGAAGAAATTAGAGTGACAGAGAGAGGGAGTAAAAGAGAGATCGAAATTGAGAGAGAGAGAGAGAGAGAGAGAGAGAGAGAGAGAGAGAGAGAGAGAGGGAGAGAGAGAGACAGACAGACAGACAGACAAACAGACAGAAGAGAGAAATAGATAGAGTGAGAGGGGTGGGGGGGGGGGGGTGCAAACTCTGTGTGACCATACGAAGTATACGCGTACTGAGCCGTCAAGGGATATTTTATCATGTTAATTTTTGTTGTTGTTGTTTGTTTGTTTGTTTGTTTGTTTGTTTGTTTGTTTGTTTGGGGGCGGCGTGTTTGTTTGTTTTATTTAAAGAAGGGGGGGGGGCGCTCTCTATTCTAAAAAAGGCAACGAAACAGAAGAGAGGAGCCATGTTTTTCTGCAAATATTTTACAAGATAGGTATAATGCATCTAAGCATCATTTATTCAAACTTTGAACGATACACCGTTTGAATAAAATTCAAGAGTTTGAGCCACAGTTAAAGTAATATTTTTGTATGTTTATTGACACAAAATGCACTCACAAAAATCGATACTATGAGGAAAGGGGAATTAAACTGGAAATGTCTGAAGTCACCAACCTAATAACACAGTTGGCTCCCGCTATATTTACAAGACATTCATTTTAAATGAAGAAGCCGAGTGCAATACTGCAATTTATCTGGTTTCCTTTCAATAGTATAAATAAATAAATAAATAAATAAATAAATAAATAAATAAATAAATAAATAAATAAATAAATATATGAATTGACTAATTGATAAACTGTGAATAGATTCATAGATAGATTAATAATTTCTACAGACAATTAAAAAATAAAACCAAATAATTTTGCCGTAGAGCAAATTAGGTGTTGCACTTTTTTCATTTAAAAATTACTATAGTTGTTGTGCTGTTGATTGTTCCTTTAAGAGTATTCTGTCTCAAGTTATCACGTTTAGTTGGTAAGTGAGAGTTCGCGGCGGAATGTAGTTTGAATTACAGGTCATGTAGGCAATGGTTAGGTTAGTAGTCGTATGTAGAATAACAATATCGCAAGTCGATTTCCACGAACTATAATATTGTATTTGACCGGGTATATACAGCTGGGAAGCTGTGAGGCACTCACCTCTGGTTTATCGTTTTAAACAGTCGCTCCCTTTTCATTTTATGAATTAAACTGTAACGAAGGGGACTTTAAGCACCAAGCAACAACTAATTGTTCAATTACACAGTTTGACTTGAAATGTCGATCCTCCAGAAGCATAAGAGTCAAATATAGTATATATATACATATCTATATATTGAGTTAAAAGAATCAGAATATAATCTCAATTGATAAAAAATAATTTTTCTTAAATCCCCTAAATCAGCCGTCCAAAAAACCCCACAACCAAACCAACACTCCCCCTCCACCCCTCAACCCCCTCCCCACCCCCTGTCATTTTAAATCATCACTGTATAATCCCTTGGTTCCTACGTACACTACTTAAAGATCCAATTTCCTAACAGTAAAAAATAACATTAAACGACTTTTCTTACGTCTCAATCTTACTTACTGGTTTCTTCTTTGCCCCCAAGAGGGTGTAGCCCACCGGACTGAAGAATACAGCCAGTGTCCGTGCTTGGCTGGGGAAATGATTTATAATATAATTTGAATGTATCTGTTTTGTAAAATGAAATTGAAATTTAATACGAAACATCGTAATATTCTGAATTATTCTGTCGTGAGGGCTGTGTCCCAATTCTACTGAAAGCAAACCTTTTCCTCTTCATGACACCTTTTCTCCCCCAAAATGTATCCTACACTTTCTCAGCACTCTGGGAAATCCATTCGTTGTGATGATCTTCCTCGTCGATATCATGCCCCTGCAGCTGAACGTTTTTAAGAAGTTCAATTTTGCGTTTCATTCACTCTTGGTTGAATTTGATAAAGCTTGATATTTTGGGGGCACTAAGCAAGATTTTCTTTGTATTGCGAAATTTAATCCTCCCTTGCTTGTGTGTTATTAGCTCGAAGCTACATTAAGATTGGTGAAGAAGTGACCAGTTTATCGCCCCTCTAATGAGTCTTTTTTTTAAACAGACACCACAATAGGAGCAAAAGGGTATGTATGTGAACAGACTACCTTTCCGTCTGCATCCACTCCCCATCCCATTGGGATCTGCTCTCCAAGTTTATGTTTGACTTCTACCTGTAAAAAAAGGGTATTTCAAGAAATGGAGTTATATATAGTATAGAATATATTTTTGCGGCGTTTGCACCTTCTCTTTTAGAAATGTCTTGGGAACAAAATAATACCCTACTATAATAGAGACATTCACACAGTTCAAAATAAATATAACCCCCGCCCCCTTGTTTTATTGATTTGTTTCACTATAACAATCTTAAAAAACAAGAACTCATTATAGGTATTTTCTCGTTAGCTTCTCAGTGTATTTATTTCGAATTCATTCACTTTACCCAGTTAAGCCCAGTGAAGTCGTTGAAATAGCCGCTGCATTTTAAAACAAAACAATACATAATGAAAATGGGGAAAATGTCAATTTTGGTATATGTTGCATCTCTCGTTCACATAAAATTTAAACAATATTAACTTACTTTCCCTAAGGCTACAGTAGTCGTTGCCATATCCAAGACAAATTCATCGTCCCCCTCTCCCTTGGCAGCAACACAGATCGGATTCGTGCCCAGAAGCCTCTGAGATTGTAGCAAATGAATCAGAAATTGCTCATTATTCAAACCATACAATCTTCAGTTGTTCTTGTATTGGGAAATTGGGGGGGCTGGGGGGATTGTCTCAGCTGTGTGTGTATGTGTGTGTGTGTATGTGTGTGTGTGTGTGTGTGTGTGTGTGTGTGTGTGTGTGTGTGTGTGTGTGTGTGTGTTTGTTTGGGGGGAGTTGGTGGGGGGATTTTTTTAGCCTACTTTGTTTTGTTTAGTTGTATTTTTGTGTTTAATTTGGGTTTTTTTTGTGTGTCTGTGGGGAGTGGGGGGAGGATGCTTTTGTTTTAGGCTTAGGGTGGAGGTGGGGGTGGGGGGGGTGCATGACATATTTAACAAGCGGGTTGCATTTGTTTTACACTTATATTTCCGTGCAAAATTAATTCAAATTATATCAAGGCATGATTAACTTTAAAAAGTATGTGTCTCATCTGTTATGAGTGTTCAAACTAAGAGAGCATTTCACTATTACTCAAAGAGAAGGTCAGTTTCATTAAGAATCTAATCCGTTGAACGTAGGTGTCTACGGTCTCCCACACTGCATCATTGTGAAAGGGAGAGAGGTTGTTTAGCTTCGTTTGAAAATACAATAAAAATCAGTAAAAGTAAAGTACAAGGCACGTATTAATGAGTACGAGAATACGTAATATCAAGTTGCCTCAAAGAGCTAACAAAAATGTCTTTGTATTCTATACAAAATGGATCTAGGTGTACCTTTAGGAATTACAATATGTTTGTCGAGCTCACCTTCTTTCCTCTCGGATGAACCATTGTTGGAGAAGAATTACAAAACGCCATACCCTGTGGAGATAAAACGTAACTACGTGTATACGTCAAGTTTTGCTCAGATTGAATAATTGAAGATATCTAAAATGTACAATTTAACGAGTTACAATCAAGAGAAAAGTAATATATACAACTAGTTGGAGCATTGCAAAGTAGTATTCTTTAACCTTTCCTTTCATATCAACAAAGTAGATCCCATAACATGAAAAACGAAAAAGAAGATATAACTGTATTTTTTTGTTTGTATGATAGGTGGCATGTGATCGCACAATAGTACATGTGCATTTCCCAGGGAAATGAAAACAGACCAACAGTCAAACAATGTTGCAGTTTAGAACTGTATGCATAAGCTAAAAATGGATCACTGATTGATGTTCAACGAAATGAACATAAAACAGAAGGTTAAGAGATTATAATTATTGCTTTTCGTGCTTTCCTAAATGGTTTTTTGACACATAAAAAGAAAACAATAAACGAAAAATAACAATTTATGAAAAGAACTTAGCATTCAAGTAACATCTGAGAGATTTGTTGATAATTCCTAAGAGTTTATAATTAGGTTTGTTTTGCTCTAATTTTTAAAAAAAAGTTACGAACGTCAAATCATTTCTCACAATCATATCTTGTTCCATCGCCCGAATGCTGTACCAGCCGGAGATACCAAAGTGATTGGATCCTAGGGAGAAAAAAAACACGTTACTGTTTATTTTGATCCATGTGTATTCCATTGTTTTTGCTTAAATTGCTCATTTTCCCCTCGTCCCTCTCTTCCAAATTATCTTTCCTCTGTTCCTCTGTCTTTATCTATTTGTTTGTTCATGTTTGGTCTCTGTCACTGCCTGGTTGTTTTTTCAATCAAAATTGGAACTAAAATAAACAATACACGTATCACGTAATGCAGTTCAACCGCACGAAACAGATAATTTACCTGTTGCACATACCCATCCAACGCCGGTCGATTTTGCTTTCTCAATAGCCAAGTCAATGCACATTTTACCGACCACAGGACCTTCAAAATAAAATATTAAACAATAATTGAATCATATCAAAGTTGATTTTGAGATATAGGAGCTCAAGATATGGCAAGAAAAGGATACTGAACTAGAAATATAAAATATTTTACTTGTGCGTCTGTATTTGTGTGGACAACACATAATACTTCTCTGGTCAGGTCTGGATGCGATTGGAGGATTATCAATTTTGGGAGAAATAAATCAGACAAATAACTGCACAATGAGAGAAACAATAACCTAACACAGATTCCGAAAGGTTTCTATCTTTGTTTTGCCTTATGTTCGGAGGGTGCATGTACATGTAGTTCTGTAAGCAAGGACATACCAACTATACGCCTGACATACACATTTCAGCCTACCTAAACAGTTATTTCCATTTACTAAGGCTGTTGACGGTCCTTGTTTTGTTATCTCTGGTTCCTTGTCTGAAGCATTTAGTCCTCTGGCGATGCCGTCTGCGTAGTAATCTTATTGAGAAGAAAGACAAATGAAACTCGGCAGTTTTGACTTTAAAGGGTATCTAGAATAAGAGGACAAATTCGAAGGACAAAAACTCGGTCATTATTACACCAACTTCAATAAGATCTCAAACAAACAAAACTTAACCAAAGAGAAGTTAAATTAATTACCATGATGAAAATCAACCCACTTACTTCATAACTAATAATTGTCACAGTTTCAACCTAAATTGGGTAACACGTAAAAGTTTAGCTCTTAATGGGATAAGGTGTGAAAAAAATAGAATTGTGAGAAAACAGCTGATGCAGGTAAGAAAAGGCTGGAAAACATGTGCCTCCGCAGAAAAAAACAGATAAAAAACACAGCTTCAGGGTGTAGCAAGGCTTACATACGTTTCTGGATAAGAAGTTGTTAGGTTTTGTGTTTGACTCCGTTTTGATTAATATAGTGTTATAAAGATTACAAGTAAACGTGAGAGCTTTTGTGAACTTCTGCAAAATCAAAAAAAATGTCTTCTGCAAGGGAAACTTGTTTAGCAGTAGTGACAAACCTACAGGAAATCTTCTATAGAGACAAAGCAATTTACCCCCACAAAAACCGAGAACATGTTCGTACAGAGCCTGTCTCCAATATTCATCCCAGTGCATCAACGATTCCATAGTCACATTCACTAGCATCAAGTAAACATACAATTATGATTTGTGTTTTATAGTATTCCACCTGCTGACAAACACGACCATGGCCTCAGGTGACAGGTAGCCAACATTACCGAGTCTGTTCAACCCGTGACTGAAGTGTCCCCTGTGATCAGCCGCCACTATGAGCTCGGCCAGGGCCTCGGCGTGAGCGGGTTTGGCACCGGCTTTGACGATGACCCGCTCAGTGAACGCTCTCAGGTTTTCTACAGGTACGATCACCTTTTTGTCGGTGTCTGCGTCTGATGATGACGACATTGCTACACTTCTGTGAATGAGAATTGTTACCATTTTAACTACTTTCAGGTATGCAATAGTTGCCACTGAACAAAGTGCGGCAAGACAAGACAATGTGTTAATGTGTCCATCTACAGATGGGTTTATTCCCACTGCCCCACACTCGATAACTGCAGGAATATAATAATCAACTTACAATAATTTTTAGTAGATCTGCACTAAATTTGAGAGGATTTATATATGATTATCTGAACACTATAGTCTATGCTCAAACATAAACTAGTCAAATGAGCACCACTGCATCAATCATTTTTTTAAAAACTCTGAACTCCAGTCCAAAAAGAAGGAGCTGGAGTTAATTTCAAATTTTGATTTAGTGCACCTTTTGAAAAAGGAACTTTTTGGTGGAACAAACAGTTCTAGGAGTCAGGATGTCTGTATGAAAATTATTAAAGGAGGGAGAAAGCGATGACAAGGCGGTGTGAAAAGTGGAATCAGTTTTTGCGTCGGTCAGTGCCATGGAAATCTACTCGAGAACGTAGAAGTGAATAGGCTTTTCTGAAGCACAGTAAAAAAAATGAAGCCATGTCACAATTTTGGCCACCAAGGAATGACTTCAGATAATGCTTTTAAGAGAATGGAAAAACGGGTCCATGTCTATGTTCCCTAGCTCTATGTTCCCTAGCCCTATGTTCCCTAGCTCTGTAATGTTCATTTTTTATTATAAACGTACGCTTGACAACTGGTCAGCTTAACTATTGCTTGACCACAGATCATTCTGATCATTGCTTGACCACTGGTCGCTCCGATCATTGCTTGACAAATGATCATTCTGACAATTACTTGAACACTGTCACACTGACCATTGCTTGACCACTGGTCCCTCTGACCATTAGTTGACCTTTGGTCATCGTGTAACATGAATAGAGCTGAGGGAACATAGAGCTAGGGAACATAGGGCTAGGGAACATAGAGCTAGGGAACATAAGGCTAGGGAACATAGAGCTAGGGAACATAGGGCTGCCCCGGGGGAAAAACAAAGAGTGCGTGTGTTTTTAAAACACAAGAGACGGAGAGATAATTTTCAATAGTCTGTTGTTTGTTTATTTGTAGATATGATGTAAATTTCTACGAGGCTATAAATAATGTTTCTGGGAATTAAATGCCTAGGGCAACAGGAAGACCAGATGATGTGAATGAGAGAATCTTGCACAAGAAAACAGCATGGGTAGCTTTGTGCCATTAAGGTGTCATGGGACCATTTTGGTTTAGTGATGAGGACCTAGCCACATAAACTGTCACGCAGATTCATTATTTGATTGAGTTAAATAAGTTCTGGCAAGCGTTGTGGCGGCTCTGCCGTTATGAGTCAACGGTTAATGCAAGGTATGGTAGTCATTCACACTGAAAACTGAGTCTTAACCTGGTTGAAGGGATATTTTGATGATCATGTTATCGTTTCACTTAACAGAGAACCTATGGACATCACTCTTCCCTGTTATAAACGCATTTAACATGACAGTACATTGAGCGTGATCTTTTCCCCTGTGTTTTTTATTAGGAGGGGGGGGGGAAGGGTATAGGGGATGGGAAGGGGGCATCTAGAGCATCTTTTGTAAAGATAACAGTTCTGATACCGATTCCTTTTTCATGCAATAAACTGTTAAACTGTCTCTCTGGATTGTTAATTTATGATTGTACCAAAGTGCTTTGCCGTACGTTGTGTGGTTTTTATATTGTTTAACTATTTATTGTGGTAATCAAGTTTGAGACTTAAGTAGGCCTAAATATGCTGACAGATGGTAGAACTGACAGATGAATGAAAATGTGAATAAATTGGAAGAAAGAAACAATCTAAATATTTTAAAGTAGTTGAAACGCATACAAAATACAAAATACATAACAAAATGCGTATAGTTGTATATTATTGTTAAGGTTAGATTTTAAAACTCAGTATTTTACAAACACAATCTGTCTCTTTATGTCGTATTCTCTCTCTCTCCCTCTCTCTCTCTCTCTCTCTCTCTCTCTCTCTCTCTCTCTCTCTCTCTCTCACTCTCTCTCTCTATCTATCTCTCTGACACTTTTAAAATTACACATTAGCTAGCACACACTTTTATTTTTCAAAACCACACAACGAAACACAAACTAACCCCGATTTAATGAGAAGGAAAGAAAACGGCAGAGAAAGACATAGAAAAACATAGTGAAAATGGGAAAGAAACAGAAAGTGACACACGGATAAAGAGAGAGAAAAAATACAATGTATAAAAACAGCTTATCTAAGCTTGGAGTAGATTTTAACATCAGGGAAGAAATAGCTGAGGACCGGAAAACATGGAGGAAAATGATAAAGGAAAGAACTATAATGCTAGAGAACAGCCTTACAAACAACCAGGCTGAGAAGCGCCAACGACGAAAGGAAAACAGCGGAAAAACAGCTTCGACCTACGACACTGACATGCAAGCACTGCGACAGAATCTTCTCTCTCTATATATCTCTCTCTCTCTCTCTCTCTCTCTCTCTCTCTCTCTCTCTGTGTGTGTCTGTATCTATGTATGTGTGTCTCTGTCTCTCTCTAGATATATATATATATATATATATATATATATATATATATATATATATATATATATATATATATATATATATATATATATATATATATATATATATACATGGAGAGAGAAAGCGAGAGACAGACAGACAGACACACACACACACACACACACACAGAGAGAGAGAGAGAGAGAGAGAGAGAGAGAGAGAGAGAGAGAGAGAGAGAGAGAGAGAGAGAGAGACGTGTTGGCATAACCAAATTTTTTAACGTGTAAATAACATAGCAAGTATGCACAACTCACCGCCTTGGGCTACCTCTCTTGATTGTTTCATAATGTGTAGAGAGCTATGGCCAAGTCGTTATACTATAGACAAGTGACCTAATTAGCCAGACGAACTCTTACTACCAACAAATGAATAAAGTCCGGATATAGACATGATCTTATCTGTTCGCACCAAACTATGTGACAGTTACGTAGGCTAACTGTTTGATATGAAATAGCATGTCAGTTATCTACTTCTCAGACACATTTTACACACTTCGACTTGAGTGTGTGTGCATGTGTGCGTGTTTGAGTGCATGAGTGTTTGTGTGTGTGCTTACGTATTTATATTAAATATAATCATTTTATTTGATATATTATATAAATACATATTATTATGTATATTTTTATTATATACTATAGATAGATAGATAGATAGATAGATAGATAGATAGATAGATAGATAGATAGATAGGGATGTCAAAGGCCTTATGTATCTAAGGGAGACGTTTTCCTCGTTGCAATGATCAGTCACCAGTATATCGCTCTCCTTGAGCTGGACAAAGTGCTGATCCGTCACATTTGCCTACTTGAGGATAGTTCATAAGATGAAAAGCGGGTGCCAATCTGGGGTAACTGATTATAAAAGAAAAATAACAGCTCTACCACTAAATCTTGTTTCGAACAATGTACGGATCATGGGTCTTGGCTTTGGAAGTTCAGACTCGACCAAGACAGAGCAGGTGAGTTTTTTTTTAAAATCCTTGATTAAATGATTAGTTGCGACGAGTCAATAAACTCTGGGTCCGTCTTGGAAAAGAACTAAGCTTCGTTCTGCAGACTCTAAAAGCTGAAGAAAGTCTAACTTACTGTGTAGGTTTTCCCGTATACAATGAATGCAAAGAAATATTATCTATGAGCGCACCTGTATTGGTGACTAAATTTTCTTTCAAAAGAATACACGAAAACTTGCTTCATCAACATCATAAGTGCAGTTTGTTGATCCTGAAGTGGTAATAAATGCCTTAAACGAAAGCCTTTGAAAGTGGTTGTCCTTAGTCATATCAGTGCATGCGTGAGATTTGATCATCAAGCTTAGCCTACTCGTTAGGGATGTCATACCTTAGGCAGAGACTTGGGAACCACTACTTTACACCCCATCATCCCAAGACACCCACAAACACACACACAAACACACTCACACACACACTCACACACTAGGGAACATAGGGCTAGGGAACATAGGGCTAGGGAACATAGGGCTAGGGAACATAGGGCTAGGGAACATAGAGCTAGGGAACATAGGGCTAGGGAACATAGGGCTAGGGAACACAGGGCTAGGGAACATAGGGCTAGG